GTCCAATGAGATTTGCAAATTACAATCAAATGGATTAAATATGATTTGAAACTAAAGTGTTGTGTTACGAGTGCAGCAGGCTCAGAATCGGCATCCCACTTCACCTTACTTTTTTCTGTGTGGTGTACTCCAATCAATTCTAGAAAAATGCTGTCACTCCTGCTAGTTACTGAAATAGCCAGGACTCAGGAGACATGCTTACTTTATTAAACTGTATATTCAGCATTTGCAGAACAAAAATGTCAGCCAAAACCTTAAATAACAAGTAATGTAATACTATACACATTAACCTGTTATGATGCCTCTTAGTGTTCACCATAGTTTGTTACCACAACTTAGAACAGTGTTCATCATCCTATAACCAAGTGGAAGGCCAGGTCCCCTCATTTGGAGAACACCACCTTGGTCATCACTGGATTCTGGCCAGTTACAAAAGGCCAGATGCCTTCTCTTGTAACACATGCAACTTACATGCATGGTCACTGGAAGAGAGTTTAATTCCCCAGGACAGTCTCCACAGTCCTTAGGCTGACTTTTTCTGTCTTTCTCTACAAAAACTTCACAGATTCCTTGATCCATTTAATCCAGGCAGAGCCTCTGAAAGCTAGCTGCCTCACCGTAGTTAGTGTGGTTGTGGTTGTGATTGTTGTTGGGTAAAAGCAGAGTTGCACACTGTAGACAGTGCTCAGTGTGTTCAGTTGCTGCCAGCCTGATAGCTCCCTCTGCATCCAGAAACTTGAGAAGTTTCTGGATGATAGGTGTGGAGCTATGAAGATGACAGCATGAACATTGATACAGCCCTGGCCCTGGAATGGTCCATGATTCAGCCTGGAGGGGGCATGCTGCTCTCCCAGGCAATGCTGCTACATCTGCTGTTGTAGGCCTCAGGGGGGCAACCTGAGGGCCTGAATACTGAGACCCTGGTGTCAAAGTCCTACCTTTCTTCAGAGCTTGTGCATCTCCATGTGCTGGCATCCATCTTGGGTTTCTGCAAAGCATGGTGGGAACCTTTATGCCTTCAGGCTTCTGCGGCTCCTCCTCAGAAGGGTGTGGTTGAGCACATTTAAACCTGCTGTCTGCAAGTGCTCTCTGTATTCGTGTCCTGTATGTTTCCTTGTCGCAAGCTCTTGTTCTGTTCTCGTTGCTCTCCTGGTAACCGACTCGGCTTGGACAAGACTATTCGCTGCTTTAACCCTTTACCTGACTTCCGTTGCTGAACCCGGCCCATGACCTGAGTATTCTTTGCCTACCGTCTAGTACTGTCTGCTCCGTTGTTATTGACCCGGCCTGTCTGACTACGCTACACGTGTTCCCATCTAGCTCCCACCAGCTGTACGCCATTGACGGCAGTCGTTACCGCAGCTGGGGTAACTCGGGGGCCGCGACCTGGTCTCAGGCTGTGTCAAGTCCATCCCCACCATCAGGGGCTCTGGTGAAGGGTAGCCTGGGGCTTAGACTCCGCGCCCTGAGGGACTCTAGTCTGTGGGTAGTGGCTGTCGTCAGTCGCGGCATGACCGTACCATAGGCCTGCCTGCCCATTCCATCGTTCCTGCCCTGACACCTGGTTCTGCTTATAGCTGACTGAGGGGCAGTCTACTAAAGATCTGGTCTGGTATCATGGAGGAAGGCAACCAGCTGTCCTTGGGCCTTGTGAGTACAGACAACCCTGAAAGGATCTTAGAGACTTTGCACTGATAAAACCCCTCTGGTGCTAGGGTGGGTTTAGTTAAAGGGGACACCGGCTGCTGTCGTGAACTTGAAGGGAATCTGCTCTATTACCTTAAAACTAAAGTTTACTTATTGTTTCAAGCACACACTTTATTAGAGCTAATCCTGAAGAATACCTAAGTCCTCAAGTTGTACATAGTTCTTGTTTTTGGAGTATCCCACTTCCTTCCCTCATCCCTATCCAAGTTCTCCTAAGATAAAAACAACAAAATCAACACCCCTAGACTGGTCATTGAAGAAACATGTGTAGCCTGGCTGCGGGGCGAAGATTGTGGGAAACGTGGATGGTATTCCTGCGGCTCCTACTTTAAAAACTTGCTGTGCTCCAGGGTTGCCTTGTCTTTGTGGGCTTTTATTTGAAATAATCAAATCATTTTGCTTTTACAACTTTACCAAGACAGCTAACTAAAAAAAAATATGTTGCTGCTAACAGATCTAAATACTTTGAAAATGACCACCAGTCTAAGGGTCTGTGTTGATCAGAAAATGCAGCGCACTCTCAAGTTCCTTTAGTCTGCTTTGCTTTAGAGAACCATTTTGGATGATTCTGAGTTTCAGATGCACATGACCTTCTGACTTGCAGTTGACTTCTTAGCTCCATCAACCAAATTCAAGCTCCTTTGGCTTTTTTTTGTCTTGTATTGGTATGTATACATGTATGTCTTGTATATATAAAGTAGTCATGAACCAGACAGAAGCCTATTTACAGAGATTGTTATGGTTTTCCTCTGCACTAATCATTAATCTGAGGGAGTACGACACTGACCAACAATGTAAGGGGCTTTCTTTCCACTGACTACCAAACAGGACATGGTGAGAGAGGCTCCTCTCTCATTAACCACCATGTGGTTACCTAACCTAACAAGTAAAGGAGTCTGACAACCAATCTAAGAGGGCACTTCTGACACTGACCACCAATTTGAAGGGGAGGGGGAGCTTTTTCACATACTAACAATGTATAGAGGTCTTTCTCCACTGACCATCAATATAGGAGCACTTCTTCCACTGACTACCAATGTAAAGGAGCACCACACTGAACACCAAAATAAGGGTACATTTCTACACTGACCTCTGTGTGTTAAGGACACTGCACTGACCACCATTATAAAAGGACATTTCTCTTTGGTTTGGTTAATGCTGATCTACCCAAATACAAAATAATATGTGATGGAAGAACATATCCTCAAAAATTCTACAAAACGTGGATCTTATGGTTGGAATACCCCATGGCATCTTATTCGGATATGCCCACTTTAAATGTTGTTTCTTAATGTCCTATGCTGAATGCCTATTATTTTGAGATGTGGATTTGGGGGAGAGGAAGAGTGTGTGTTTAGTGTACAATACTAAGTACTATGCGCTCCCTTCTGAAATGCTGCGTATCCTTTTGTAAGTTATTTTTAGTTTGTCAAGCTTTACCATGTTTATGCGTCTTTTGTGTCTTTATGCAAAACTAAATACAGTAAACACTGTTAAAAAAAATAAAATGGCATTTCTCTACTGAACACAATGCATTTCTCAACTGATTGCTGATGTAACAGTGCACTCCACTGTTTACCAATGTACAGGGGCAGTCCACTGATCATCAATGAAAGTTTTATTAAACCCAGGACCCTGTATTCACTATATCTGGTCTCCCACAATACACACAACATGGAAATGCAATTATTCTAGTAAATATAAACTGCTAAACACCTTTCCTCATCAGCAGTATATAGCAGTCTTGTGATTTCTATCAGTGTCCGGTCATGCACTGGTTAAAGCTTGTAGGAGGAGTTTTCATTCTCTGACTATCCTATGAGGATGCATGACTCCTGATCCTGTCTGGACAGTGCTGTGCCGATCACATGCACCCTCCCCCAAAAACCATTTTCTAGCAATACACACCAAACTGAGCATGTGCAGAGTGTCTCCTAGAGCTCTGTACTATCAGTAGATGGATTGGGGACTGTGGAAGAAGGGGAGGATCAGAGAAGACAGGATCAAACAGCCTTTTTTTTCACAATGCAGAGGATTAGGTTCCAGATTGAGTATAATAAGCAGGCTTTACTGCAGACTGATTTTACTGTTGTGGGTTTAGTAACACTTTATGGATTTACTTTAACACTGAAGCAATGTAAGGGGACATTTTACACTGATTGCTAATGTGAAAAGGCTGTAAGATTTTTACTGTCTTCATGTCTAATATTATTAATAATTAAATTTCATAAATATTGCAAAAATGTTTTGTGATATTGAGCAGGGGGGTGATAACATCGAATTTGCAACGTCAAATACTCTAGGTACAACACAGTCTTTATTCTTTTCTTTGCTTTTTTATTAAATGTTCTGATCACACTAATGTACTGTGAAATGTGCAATAACCATTTTTCAGGAATTGCTTTAAAGCCTGAAAATTACTTCAAAGTGGTTTTAAAGGTTTGATTTAAAAAAAATAAGAAACAGGTTTATATTTACCTGCTTTATGCAATGGTTTTGCACAGAGCAGCCCCGAACCTCCTGTTCTGGGGTCCCCCGTCCGCCTTCCTGGCTCCCCTTCCCTTCCAAGCTTCCCACATAGTAAGCTACTTTCTATGGGGGCACTCGTGCAGGCTCAATCCTGACGTGTGACAATGTATGACACACATACAGTGCGGCTCAGCCTCAGCTCCCCCCTCACAGGCTTTGAGAGACAGAAATGGCTCCCACTGCTGCCACCACTGAGGAGAAAGAGAGCAACATTTCTGCCTTGGGTACAGCAAAGGATCGAGATTGGGTTCAGGTAAGTATTTAGGAAGGGCTGGGGGGAGCTGATCCTAGAAGGTTTTTTTTTTTTACCTTAATGCAGAAAAACCTTTACAACCACTTTCATTCCTTCTTGGTAAAAATACAGGGAAAGCCTGGCATTAGGTACAGCTGAGCAGTTCTTTGAAACTGGAGAATCAAATAAGCAATATACTGTATAAATAAAGAACAATTAGAAGATTAGCTCATATTTAGTCCTTTGGGTCTTGAATAACGTCCTCATTATTGAAATGTAAGTGCATCAAAACCTTTTGCTAAAAAGGTTGGTAAACTACAATGTATAAATTCATGTATTGCAGTTTACTAGATGTACTGGCTGTATTTCTTTTTTTTTTTTTTCACCTGGTGATTCAGTCTGCAAAACACTTCTTGTCCTAAAGTGACAACACTCACTCATGTACCTCTGTGGAGTAGAAGCATTGTCACATGGATTCAGGTGTTCCAATCATCTCCATAGCCACAGGGGTATAAAATCAAGCACCTAGGCATGCAGACTGCTTCTACAAACATTTGTGAAAGATTGGGTCGCTCTCAGGAGCTCAGTGAATTCAAGCGTGGGTACTGTGATAGATTGCCACCTGTGCAATAAGTCCATCTGTGAAATTTCCTTGTTACTGAATATTCCACGGTCAACTCTTAATGGTATTATAACAAAGTGGAAGCAACTGGGAACAACAGCAACTCAGCCACGAAGTGATAGGTCACGTAAAATGACAGAGCAGAGTCAGCGCATGCTGAAGCGCACAGTGCGCAGAAGTCGCCATCTGCACAGTCAATAGATAAAGACCTCCCAACTTCATGTGGCCTTCAGATTAGCACAGAAACAGTGTGTAGAGAGCTTCATAGAATGGGTTTCCATCGCCGAGCAGCTACATTCAAGCCTTACATCATCAAGTGCAATCCAAAGCGTTGGATGCAGTGGTGTAAAGCACGCCGCCACTGGACTCTAGAGCAGTGACGAATGACACTTCTCTGTCTGGCAATCCGATGGACGCGTCTGGATTTGGTGGTTGCCAGGAGAACGGTACTTGCCTGACTGCATTGTGCCAAGTGTAAAGTCGGGAGGGGGAGGGGGGGTAATGGTGTGGGGTTGGACTTGGCCCCTTAGTTCCAGTGAATGGAACTCTTAAGGCTTCAGCATACCAAGAAATTTTGGAAAATTTCATACTCCCAACTTTGTGGGAACAGTTTAGGGATGGCCCCTCCTGTTCCAACATGACTGCGCACCAGTGCACAAAGCAAGGTCCATAAAGACATGGTTGAGCGAGTTTGGGGTGGAGGAACTTGACTGGCCTGCACAGAGTCCTGACCTCAACCCGATAGAACACCTTTGGGATGAATTAGAGTGGATACTGGGAGCCAGGCCTTCTCGTCCCACATCAGTGCCTGACCTCACAAATGTGCTTCTGGAAGAATGGTTAAACATTCCCATAGACACCCTCCTAAACCTTGTGGACGGCCTTCCCAGAAGAGTTGAAGCTGTTATAGCTGCAAAGGGTGGCCAACTCAATATAGAACCCTACGGACTAAGACTGGGCTGCCATAAAAGTTCATGTGCGTGTAAAGGCAGGCATCCTAATACTTTTGGCAATATAGTGTAGGTTGCCAATGCCTGCACAATCAGCCTACATCCATAGAGTAAACCTAAGGCAGAGCTGGCCGCACATCATCATTTTGGGGCCTAAACCCACACACAGGATGTGGGTGCATGAAGGGTTAACCACCAGGAGAAAAAGCCACACAGGCTTCAAAGAACGAAAAGGTAAGTATAGGTACTGTGGGTTTTTTTTAAAGATGCTGTGCCATCAATATTAATCCCTAGGAAATACATTTTGCCTAGGGTTTAGTTGTTTTTAACTTACAAACAAATGCTTTAAAAAAAAAAAAGAAGAAAATGTAGCACTCGCCCCCCAGAGGGGCCGCTGAATATAGTCCAGGTCTCCCTTACTAGTTCAGAGGCTGCCCTGACCCAGATACAATTCTAAGCATGCCAATAATTGTAGGCTCAGCTTAGATAATGTCTTTTTGTAGGTTTATTGCAGAAACTTTAAATAGGGATAGAGGTGCAGGATACTCCAAGAATATTAGCGGGAATTAACAGGAGAACAACTTCAGACAGAGTCCTTGTGTAACAGTCTTTGTTGGGTGTATGAGGGAATGCCCATCTAACCTGGGAGTCTATGGAAGCAGTCCCGGCACATACAGCAACCTCTGGCACTTACATCCTCAAGCACATGCACATTGACAGTCTTTTAGAAGGGGTCCTACTCACAATGCCCATGGATAGCTGTTGCCTACTAACTTCCATGCAACATTCCTCTGTGATTCCAGGATCCCTCCTCAGGTCAGCCTCCATGAGTGATGCCCTGCTGCAAGTATCATTAATTCCGAATTTCTTCAGGCCTTCAGCCAAGCAAAGGCTGAGGCTCAACGTCAGCTCTCAGGTACACAGGCTGCATCCCAGGGGCATCAGCTTCAGGACAGGAACACTCTGAACAGGCCTCCCAATCATTTATCTTCTTCCCTGACTACCCTCTGGGTGTCCCTCCTAGGGTTTGGCTGAGAGCAGATAAATATTCATAACTTAATTGGTTGACCCTCCTACTCTATTCTCTGGAAACTTCTTCCACAGATAGGCAGGCGTAATCAGGAGCGGACTGACCATTTGGAAACTCGGGCACTGCCCGAGGGCCCGGGGTCAGTAGGGGGCCCCATGAGATGCCCCTGGTACCTTTTTCATAGGCTTTTTTGAGTTTAGGCAAGGGCACGGGCCCCATGATCCCCTATTGCCCGGGGGCCCCATGAGTTGTCAGTCCGCCCCTGGGTGTAATCAACCACCAAGCTTTGGGGGACCTGACCAAACCTAGAAAGAGATCACTACTCCACTGAGTACAGCAGAGTCCAACAACTAAATTTAGCCTAGCCAGGACAGGGCACTACAAAAAAAGCACAATAAACTTGGTACATTTTCTATAGTTATAAGTCTGTGGCCACAATGGGAGTGAAGAGGCAACTATAGCTGAGTCAAGGTCAGATCTAGGGTCCCCTGAGTCTATGAGCCTGGTAGCAGATGCAACATCACTGTAAGCAGGATAGCTAAAGGTCAATCATTGAACAAAGCTTCATAGACTTCCAGGTACGGCGTTGCATCAATGTACTAACACCAGCCAGGTGAACAGTACAACCTCACTTCTGATCTTGGGTTTCCCAGCTTTGAGACAGTCAAGGTGAATTCTCAGGCTTCAATTTACATTTCACGAAGCTCTGAAATCAATGTCTGTCACATTTCGTGTTATTTAATGGAGATTAAGTGCCAGAACAAATTTGAAGCATTTAATATATCGCTTGGATTATTTGGGTTCCACTGTAATACCAAAAAGCTTGGTGACATTTTGTTCAGGGTCACAGTGTGCAGACCTCAGTTAATTTCCTTTTAAAGCCACGGTTCATCAAGTGGACTCTGAGTCCTAAGTCAACTGTTCTTTCAACATTTTTAAAGAGATACTACAGTTAAAATAGAAAATTAAAGCGTATCTAAACTCAAAAACAAAAATGTGATTTTTTTGCAGTTTAGCAATCCTTAATGTGGCTTAATGTCCTTAAGTGGCTGCATTAGTTTCCTTTTTATAGGCTCAGAACATTTTTCAGCAAGTACTGAACATACCTATTAATCCTTTGGTGTCCTGTGAGCTGATTAGAAAGCACAAACAGCGGTATTCTTATTTTGTAAGCTACTAACCATATAAATTCACCATGTAATGGAGATACACAAAGACAGATTCGTCTATAGCGCGTTTGTGAAGTCATTCGGCTATAGCGCAGTTGTGAAGTCATTCGGCTATAGCGCGTTTGTGAAGTCATTCGTCTATAGCGCGGTTGTGAAGTCATTCGTCTATAGCGCGGTTGTGAAGTCATTCCGCTATAACGCGGTTGTGAAGTCATTCGGCTATAGCGCGGTTGTGAAGTCATTCCGCTATAGCACGGTTGTGAAGTCATTCGGCTATAGCACGGTTGTGAAGTCATTCGTCTATAACGCGGTTGTGAAGTCATTCTGCTATAGCGCAGTTTTGAAGTCATTCGGCTATAGCGCGGTTGTGAAGTCATTCTGCTATAGCGCAGTTTTGAAGTAATTCGGCTATAGCGCGGTTGTGAAGTCATTCGGCTATAGCGCGGTTGTTGTGAAGTCATTCGGCTATAGCGCGGTTGTGAAGTCATTCGGCTATAACGCGGTTGTGAAGTCATTCGGCTATAGCGCGGTTGTGAAGTCATTCGGCTATAGCGCAGTTGTGAAGTCATTCGGCTATAGCGCGGTTGTGAAGTCATTCTGCTATAGCGTATTTGTGAAGTCATTCGGCTATAGCGCGGTTGTGAAGTCATTCGGCTATAGCGCAGTTGTGAAGTCATTCGTCTATAACGCGGTTGTGAAGTCATTCTGCTATAGCGCAGTTTTGAAGTCATTCTGCTATAACGCGGTTGTGAAGTCATTCGGCTATAGCGCGGTTTTTCCGTGAAGTCATTCGGCTATAACGCGGTTGTGAAGTCATTCTGCTATAGCGTATTTGTGAAGTCATTCGGCTATAGTGCATTTGTGAAGTCATTCGGCTATAGCAGCGCGGGCATGTGAAGTCATTCGGCTATAAGCGCGGTTCATTCGGCTATAACGCGGTTGTGAAGTAATTCGGCTATAGTGCATTTGTGAAGTCATTCGGCTACAGCGCGGTTGTGAAGTCATTCGGCTATAGCGCGGTTGTGAAGTCATTCGGCTATAGCGCGGTTGTGAAGTCATTCGTCTATAGCGCGGTTGTGAAGTCATTCGGCTATAGCGCGGTTGTGAAGTCATTCGGCTATAGCGCGGTTGTGAAGTCATTCGGCTACAGCGCGGTTGTGAAGTCATTCGGCTATAGCACGGTTGTTAAGTCATTCGGCTACAAGCGCGGTTCGGCTACAACGCGGTTGTGAAGTCATTCGGCTATAGTGTGGTTGTGAAGTGGTTAAAGAGGTGGAGATCTACCTGAACAACAAGTCGAAGATCACCAGGCACAGTGTCGTCTCCTCACACCTGATTTAAACCTCTAATTGTCGTACTTTCATGTTGCAATCTTAACTATGGGGTTTTACCACCCCCAAAACTTTAACTGTAAATGAACCCTAACTGTTCTGAGCCCCCTATAAGGCTGCTTTCACACTGATGTGCTGCGTTTTATCTGCACTGCGGGTGTAGCACAGTGCATCTGTGACTTTCCTGGGTTAGCTTTACCATACACTTCTATTATAACCTGCAGATGTGGTGCACTTTCTGAAAACGCACCAACACTCCTGCATTCAGGAGTTTTGGTGTGCTTTCAGAAAGTGCACCAAATCCTCAGGATATAATAAAAGTCTGTAGCTAAGCACAGCAAACCTGCCGGAACGTTGCAGGTACACTGCAGGTACACTGCACTGACTGCACTGCACCCGTGGTGTGGGTAAACCGTAGCACATCAGTGTGAAAGCAGCCTTATACTATTATGTCCAGTGTATTGCTTCACACTGACCTGAAGATCTCTTTTCTGCTGCTGGCACCACTCTGGAGACTGCTAGCTGCTTCCTACTACAGCTCCAACTTTATAAATAGTGCACCCTCTGCACTGCACTCTGTTTGATGCTGTGGGATGGCGGGTCAGCAGGCCCAGACCAAGATCTATCAGTCACCTGGCTGAGATCTACTGGTTGCAGACCCCCGCTTTAAATGGTTGTTAACCAGTTGCCGCCCGGCCTATAATCATATGACGAGTTCGTCCCTCCGGGAGGGCGTCATATGAAGTCCTACCCAGATCGCATATTGCGTGTGCCTGCAAGGCCACGCTGTGGCGAGATCTGTCACTGGCCATGTACCTCGGACATGGCCGATGACAGATCTTTGTACCGGCCCCGTTGCCAGTACCATGTGACCTGCTGTGACCAATCACAGCAGGTCACATGACAGTTGTATACAATGGATGGCTTCCTTTCATGCCATCCATAGTATACAAGTGTGTCTAGCTGTGAATGGTCACAGCGATCACATACACACAGGCTGGGCCAATCACAGCCCATCTGTGTCATGTGATTAGCCGTGGCCAGTCACAGCTAATCACAACACCACCACAACAGTTATATAATGCCGCTGTATTGCACTGGTGACAGTATGTAAAAAAAAATTGTGAAATTGTGAATTTTTTTAATTTCTTCATTTTCCAAAAAAGTTATGACAAAAAAATTACAACTTCAAAAAACTCGCTATGCCTCTTATGAAGTATGTCGGACTGTCTACTTTGCAAAAAGGGGTCATTTGGGGGATAACTGTACTGTTCTGACATTTTTGGCCTTCAAGAAATTAGATTGGCCGTCAGTACTTCAGGATTGATCAATTTTCAGATCTATACCATAGTTTGTGAACTCTATAACTTTCCTACAAACTAAATAAATAATACATCCTAATTTGGGTTATTTTCACCAAAGACATGTAGCAGAATACATTTTGGCTTAAATTCATGAAGAACAATTATTTATTTGCACACTTTTATAGCAGAAACACAGAAAACCGTGTTTTTTTTCCCCAAAATTTTTCATTCTTTTTTTGTTAATTTAGAAAAAAATAAAAACCCCAGTGGTGATTAAATGCCATCAAAAGAAAATTGTTGTGTGAACAAAATTATAAAATTTTAGTTTGGGTACAGTGTTGCATGACCGGGCAATTGTCATTCGAAGTGTAAGAGCGCTGAAACCTGAAAATTGGCCTGGGCAGGAAGGGGGTGAAAGTGCTCAGTATTGAAGTGGTTATCAGGACAGAAATATTTTTGAAACACATGCCTACTTTGTAATGGAAAAAACTAATAAAAGATGTAATAAAAAAAAGAAATATTTTTGAAAGTGCAAGTTTCAAGACTTCTTTCCTTTCAGAAAATTTTCGATTCCCTACATAGTGAGTCACTGACTGGGAACAAGAAAGTGCATAGTGGTTGTGCCAACATTTGATCAAAACCTAATCCTTCAATTAATGAAGATTTATATAGGTGTGCAAATACATACATGCTTTCAGATGCATGCAGCTTGCATTTAACATGCATTCACAATGCTTTTGACCTGTGTTTGATTTCTTTCTGAACTGTCTTGAGTTACGTTTGAGCTCCTATTGGCTTATCTAGTGTGAAATTCAGCTTTGATTGCAGATAAATGCTCATGGACACAAATATTGGAGCTTGCACTTTCAAAAACATAATAGCAAAGGCTATTCTGTTCTAGAAATCCAACAGACCCAACAGTCATGACATGCATGCTGCTGATTCTGTGTAATTGAATCACTAATTGAAAGGGGCATGTTCAAAATAATAGCAGTGTGGAGTTCTATTAGTGAGGTCATTCATTCTTTGAAAAACAGGTGGCAATTATTGCCCTTATTTAAGGAAGGCAGCAAATGTTGTACATGCATGGTTACAGTGCATTTCTCTCTGAAATTCTGAGAAAAATGGGTCGTTCCAGACATTGTTCAGAAGAACAGCGTACCTTGATTAAAAAGTTGATTGGAGAGGGGAAAAATATAAAGAAGTGCAGAAAATGATAGGCTGCTCAGCTAAAATGATCGCAAATGCTTTAAAATGGCAACCAAAACCTGAAAGACGTGGAACAAAGCGAAAAAAACTACCATTCGAATGGATAGAAGAATAGCCAAAATGGCAAGGACTCAGCCAACAATCAGCTCCAGGAAGATCAAAGAAGGTGTAAAGTTCCCTGTGAGTACTGTTACAATTAGAAGACGCCTATGTGAAGCCAAGCTATCTGCAAGAAGCCCCACTGTTGAAAAACAGACATGTGCCGAAGAGGTTACAATTTGCCAAAGAGCACATTGACTGGCCTAAAGAGAAATGGCGCAACATTTTGTGGACTGATGAAAGTAAGATTGTTCTTTTTGGGTCTAGTGGCCGGAGACAGTTTGTCAGACGACCCCCAAACACTGAATTCAAGCCACAGTACACTGTGAAGACAGTGAAGCATGGTGGTGCAAGCATCATGATATGGGGATGTTTCTCATACTACGGCGTTGGGCCTATTTATCGCATACCAGGGATCATGGATCAGTTTGAATACATCAGAATACATTGAAGAGGTCATGCTGCCTTATGCTGAAGAGGAAATGCCCTTGATATGGGTGTTCCAACAAGACAACGACCCCAAACACACCAGTAAACGTGCAACATCTTGGTTCCAGACCAACAAGATTGACGTTATGGAGTGGCCAGCCCAATCCCCGGATCTTAATCCAATAGAAAACTTGTGGGGTGACATCAAAAATGCAGCTTCTGAGGCAAAACCAAGAAATAGAGAAGAACTGTGGAAAGTAGTCCAATCATCCTGGGCTGGAATATCTGTTCACAGGTGCCAGAAGTTGGGTGACTCCATGCAACACAGATGTACAGCAGTTCTCAGAAACAGTGCTTATACAACTAAATATTCATTAAGTGATTCAAAGGAAAGCAAAATCTTTAAACATTTTTCAGTTTATATAGTGAATGTTTGAGTTTGTAAAGAAGAATACAAACACTGCTATTTTTTTGAGCAGTCTAATATTCACTTTTCTTCAATTTTTTTAGAGGAACAATACAAATTTGATATATTTTTCTTCATGTTTTGATTTGGAATAGAATGTGTAGTGTTCCCAATGCATTTGTGTGTTTATGGAAATAAAAGCTACTAGAAGTATTTTGAGCTTTATTCACTTTTTTCAACACACTGCTATTATTTTGAACACAACTGTACATAAAGACTAGTCGGAAAAATCTGTGCCTTACCTTACCCTCAAATCCTCGCCCTCCCAGCACAAATCCTTACCCCAAATCTCATGAAGTATGCTTAGTATTCCAAGTATATAAATACCAATAAACCCCCTAGTGCAAAATAATGAAATAATGACAATCAAATACAGTGTACCCTTCCGTTATTAACAAACTTCCCCAAAACGCATATAGACTTAAACCCCAAAAAGTGTGATAATCTTATGAAGTATGCTTAGTATCCCAAGTATAAATACAAATATGATAAGTGCTCTGAACAAAAACAAAAACCACACAAGTCCCAAAATAATAAAACAGTCCTTCAAAATATAAAAGTCATTCAAAATCTCAAAATCAACCTCCAGGTGAAGACAGCCTCCAAAGTGATTTCTGAAACCAAAAAAACCTCAAAAAAAAGAAAGGAAAACGCACCTAGTGATTTCTTAACAACTGGAATTATTCAAAACCTAAAAAAAAAGAAAGGAAAACGCAAACCTAGTGTATTATCCTTAACAACTTGAATTAAATCATTCACAAGCTAACGGCAGGTACTGATATATAATAATAAGTTCCTCCAGAGGGATCTTCACAGCCACAGTATTATACTCCTCTCCACATCAGTCTCCAAACGGTGTCCACCATAAATGAAACCACAATAGTGTAATTCCATAAAAACTTAAACAGAATATACTTTATTCATGTGCTTACATATATCTTCATCTTTAACCTCCCTAGCGGTATGATTATTTCCGATTTTTGGTGCTGAAAGCGGTACCATTTTTTTGCATGGAAATATGTAGTTTTTTATTGTAGGCTGTAATTTTTAGGAATAACTGAAATCTGTCCGAACAAGAGTCTAGTAAACATCCCGGGTAGGATAAAACTTGAAACACAAAATCATAAATTATAATTTAATAAATAATCATAAAAAATAATAATATAACAATAATATATATTAATTCAATAATATAATCAAACCAAAAACACTGAAAATTGAAATACAGAGGCAAATTTGCACATCGCTGAGCAAAGTCGCAAAATCGTTTTCAGTGTCTGATGACGAATTTCCCCACGAAATCATTATCACTCAATTCTGCAAGTGGTTCTGATTTACTATCGCTGTTCTCTAGCTGATCTAAAACTGCTTTTGACATAAAGGGACGCTTTTTGGACGCCATGGACTTTTCTAAGTTTCCAGGCAGAAAGAACAGACAAAATGCAGGCAGGGCACAGGACAAAGCAGTAGGGACAAAATATATGTGAAATGCATTGAAACAGCAATGTTTTACTATATAATAATCATTTTTAAAAAAATGACATTTTTAAAAATTTTCAAATTTGCCGTTTTTAAATTTGCGCCGGTTCCGGCGCCCGTGCATCCCGACGTCACAGGGACCAGAACACGGAAGCCGGAAGCCGGATGCCGGCATCGGCCGGAGGAGATGGCCGGGACGCTGCAGGGGACGCATCGCGGGAGCGAAGGACAAGGTAAGCGCTGCAGGGACCCCCTGAGCAACGCCGCATGGTAAGCTCGAGTGTAGCTCGGGGTTACCGCTCTTGGTACTCAAATTTTACCCCGAGCTACACTCGGGAATACCGCTAAGGAGGTTAAAATTGCCATCATACAAGAAATCAGCCCAGCCAAATCTCGCCTTCTAGCACAAATCCCCTCCCCTTCTTTTAGGACAAATTTGGCAAATGTGACAATGGAATCCCAGGAGGCAGCGGGGGGAGTGAAACTTCATTTTTTCCTAGGTGAGAATAGTGGCAGCAGCAAAAACCTATTAAACAATGGAAGTAAAAAAAAAGCTATGGCTTAGTTGCTAGCACCCCTGTCTTGCAGCACTGGTTTCCTTGGTTTGAATCCCAACCTGGACACTACTTGCATGGAGTTTACATGTTCCCCTTGTGCTTACATAAGATTCCTCCAGGTACTCCAGGTTTCCTCCCACACTACAAAGACATGTCTGTAGGTTAATTGGCTCCTGTCTAAATTGGCCCTATGATGCATGCATGTGAGATATGGACCCTAGATTGTAAGTTCTTGCAGGGCAGAGACAGTACAATATGTACAGTGCTGTCTAAAAATTGTTGACGCTATATAAAAATCTGTGTTAAATAGAAAAAAAAAGAAAAGGAAACAAAGCTCAGCTTTTGTGA